AACACTCAAATTGCTGAATGAATCATTTGCATCCCATGATTCCAATATAAACTGTTCTAAAACCCTGCCAAAGAAAGTACAATGGATACAAATACATGGAATAGAGACCAAAAATGGGAACTTCATAGATATCGACTCATAGCATTAGAAAGGTTTCCCTGATAAATTTGTGGAATTAATAAAAAAAATTGAAACAAAAGAAAGAATTTAAATGCTTTCCCAATATTTTTAATACGAAAACCTCTCAGGCTCTCACCATTCGGTTCCTTGCAGTTAATGTCAGTTACTGAGTTCAATTAAATCTCAAGAACATAAAAGTTTCACTAGTGTTGTATAACTAGTATTCAAGCCTCAAATCATATCTCATTTTCTGAATTTTATATCTAATTGATTTTTTTTTTTTAAAAAAAGCATTAAAATGCACATTTTGACCGCAATCTGCCAATCTGAATGTCGAGAATCCAGAAACAATGTCTAAGGATTAGAGTTCAAGATATACTAGCATCAAATAAGAACACATATAAAATGCAATTGCTGAAATAAAACGAGAAAAAAAGGAGAGATTTACAGAGAAACAGAGAAGGAGGAGCGTACTTTAGCAGTGTAGGTGATGTTTTCGAGCTGGCAATTCCAATTGTCCTCGCACTCCACCATGCTTCCTCTGTAGACCTCGCCGCTTTTCATCTCCACCGTCACTATGTGTCCCGTCGATTCGTGGAGAAGCTTCACCGGAATCCCCAAGCTCCGACTCATCGTTCTTGCTGTATCGCCGGAACCAAACCCTCTTGCTGCCGCGAGCGAAGAACCTAACCCTAGGAATGTGAGCTCCCCCTTTTTCCTTGGTTAAATTCGTTTTTAAAGACTGCAAAAAAAAACAAAAAACAAAAAATAATCGTTAAACTTAAAACACCGCAAACAATTACTGATTACTATTCACAAATCAAACTTATTTCAATTTCCGTTTATATTTTCATTAGTTATTTGATAAATAATATAATATTGTCACTTTTAGTTTTGTATTCATTTTAATGTGATTTTAAATATAAAAATTTTATTTTGAAATGTAAAGTTATAATCAAATACTCCGTAAATTTAAATTGAAAATAAAATCGGTTAAAACTCAATAATTGAAATGAGAAGTTAATTTTAGTATGGAGGGAGTATCTTTTACTCCCTCTTCTCATTAAATAACTATATTTCAAGATAATTATACTCCGTAGTTATTTATAACTGAATTTCAAAATAAATTTATTGATATTAAATAAATATCATAATTCAATGTATTGTTTTCGTAATTTGTAATCAAAGTTTAAAAACATTGACCATTAAATACAAACGATAAAGGATCAAAATGGACGAAGAAAGTATTTTTATGCTCCGTACTAATTTGTAAATAAAATTAATTCAAAAGAGCTTAGATTTTGCACGTTACTCGAAAAAAGAAAATAATTTAGAGACAAATTGAGTATACTATTATATGTCTTCCATCACATAAAAATGCCGTATTTTGGATTATGATGATTGACTAATTTTATTTCTAATTTAATTTATTTAAAAACCGATAAACATTTCAAAATAAGTTACTCCATATATAATTAAAAACAACATATGAACAGTTACTACATTGTTATAAAGTTATTAGTATTAAAAAACAACATAAAGACATATACTACCTACGTCCCAGTGTATTTGTCCAGTTTGACTTTTTCAAGTCAAACTGAATAAACTTTGAGCTTCAATTACTCTCAATTTGTATTGCATATGGAGTAGTATGATAAAATAAATTTTTTGATGTTCTCAACAAGATAAATCTAATAATTTTTATATATATATAAATTTACGTTACGGTTTTTATTCAATTGAAACTTAACGTTCATCCAGTTTGACTCGAAAAATTAAATTACACAAATACACTAGGACGAATGGAGTAATACTCTCTAAAACAAGAGATGAAATGACAGCATTATTTTAACAAATACCTAACAAAATTTAGGGATGAAAATTAAATTTTAATGACCTTTAAAAACCAAAGAGGTCATGTTCATAGTTGATCACAGTATCCTATATGTTGGCGATTTTAATGTCATTGACTATTTATGCAGTTCAATTTATTTTGATCGAACGGGAATTGTAATTGGCATTGTTAAAAAGTTAGGTGGTGCCGAGCATACTTTCGTTCAACAATATTACCAATTTTGTAGCAAGGATCAAGGGGCAGAGCCCCCTGCCCCTCGCTGGGTTGAGCTGCCATGGAAATCTTTTCGATTTTCATAAACGAAGTTCAAAGCTATGTACATTCGAATGTATATAAATCATACATTTGAATGTAATGCTTGTCTCCATCATTTATTACTAAGCGATCTGATACACTCAAATGTTTATTCTTAAGCATTCAAATGTTTCGTGATAACACGCAATGGTTCACGCAGAAAATTGCTGAAACATAGTGTTTAGCCATAACTTCTACATACATTCAAATGTTCTAGCCAAACATTCAAATGTTCTGCGTAAAATTGTAACATTTTGTCAACAGACGCATGTGATTAGTTTGTGCTCTATATATCTAGAGTCCCTGAGTAAGTTTAAGAGACAACAGAACTTCCATACTCGTTCTAGATACTGACGTCTTTATCTGATTATATTTTCGTATACCCAAAATAATTTTAATCTGAAAGCAATCTCGCGATACGTTTAGTTCATTAAGTTTTTCACGTTCATCCGTATATCGTCCCTTGTAACGATGCTATGTTGCATTTTCACCCCTCTCAGATTTCGAACGCTTTGTAGACACTCAGGCCATGTTCTCATCAACTTATTATTTTTACCTATTACTTATTCTTATTAGAATCAGATCAGACCAGACTAGATCAAATCAGAAATAGCTTTAAATATAAATACATTCAGATCAAATCAGACCAGTTCAAATCAAAATTTATTCGAATCAGATCAGAACCAATCAGATGAGGTGAAGAGAACATAACCCTAGTATTATAATATTCCGCATAAGAAACGCGGCGCAACTAAAAAAAGGTAGGGAGCACTTACATCACGTGTTGGGATTGGAAGCAATATACTACTACCCTGTGATGAATAAAATATTAAACACTTGAGATAAAACACATTATTAATGAAGAGTGTTTCGACATTGGTTTCATTATTTACAACTTATCCTAACAAAACATTCAAAGCTATAATAAAATTTCTGAATGCCTTCAACAAAGTACGACAATGCCATGAATCTACCCTTATTATATAAGAGCCTATTTTGTTAGGCTTAGCTTTTTTCCGTTTTCTTTCTGTTTAGATTTCGTCATCCTTTGAGCCGCTTGCTTTTTTCCATTTTCTTTCCGTTTAGATTTCGTCATCCTTTGAGCCGCTTTCTGCTCATTTCCGTAACGTTGCTACACATTCCAACCAAACGCACTCTTTTCTGTAATTTCTTCACCGCCCACTATCTCTCCTTCACTTCTGCTTACGGCTTCCATGTCCGAAGGACTCTGCGCACTGTAATTCATTCATCCTACCACATTCTTCATCTTGCCTTCTCTATCCTTTAACCTCATTGCTAATCTTTACTGCATATATACCGTAGTGCTCTTAAAGATCCAAACTGGCATGTTGCTATGGTAGATGAATTTAATGCTTTGATCAAGAATGATACATGGGAACTAGTACCCCCCTCCCCCCACCAGAACATTATAACCGGTAAATGGCTTTTTCGACATTAACTTGGCCCTACAGGTGAGTTATCCAGGTACAAAGCCCGATGGGTTGTTCGCGGTTTTAACCAGAGATTCGGTGTGGATTATAATAAGACGTTCATCCCGGTAATAAAACCGGCCACGGTACGTATTGTGTTGAGTATAGCTCTTTCTCAGGGATGGCCCATTCATCAGCTGGACGTTAAGAATGCATTTCTTCACGGGTACCTACAGGAGACTGTTTACGCCACTCAGCCCTCAGGCTTTCAAGATCCGGCTAGGCCTCACTATGTTTGCAAACTCAAAAAGGCATTATATGGTTTCAAACAGGCTTCCAGATCGTGGTACCATCGATTTGCTGGTTTCAGACCATTGGTTTCCGCAGCTGCAAAACAGACACGTCTCTCTTTGTTTTCACTCGTGGGTCGGACACAGCCTATCTACTCCTCTATGTAGATGACATTGTTCTCACAGCATCATCTTATCATCTCCTTCAGCATCTCACACAGCGGCTTAAGGGGGAGTTCGCCATGACTGATATGGGAGATCTACATTTCTTCTTGGGCATCAATGTACATCGCACCTCCCGTGGACTTTTTCTTCATCAAACACAGTTTACTCATGACATTTTTGAGCATGCTGGGATGGTCACCTGCCGCCCTATTTCCACCCCTGTTGATACTAAGTTAAAACTCTCCACCACTGATGGGCCAGCTGCATCTGATCCCTCTCTCTACCGCTCCATTGTTGGAGCCCTACAGTACCTCACATTTACACGGCCAGATATTACCTATGCAGTTCAGCAGCTTTGCCTCCATCTACATGCTCCACGAGAGGTGCATCTGATAGCTATAAAGCGGGTTCTCCGCTATCTCCGTGGCACCGCTACATTGGGCATCTCACTCACTCCCTCTCGCACGGACATACTACAGGCCTACTCTGATGCAGATTGGGCTGGCTGCCCAGACACCAGACGCTCCACTTTTGGTTACTGTGTTTTCCTCGGTGACAATCTCGTCTCCTGGTCCTCCAAGCGGCAAGCCACCACCTCTCGATCCAGTGCCGAGGCCGAGTACCGCACCGTTGCTGAGGCCAGTTGGATTCGGAACCTCCTTCTTGAGCTACGACATCCCTTGCAGCGTGCCACCCTTGTCTTTTGCGATAATGTGACACCGAATTAAATCAAGGCGTAGGGTTAGAACGAGAAGAACAACGAAAGAAAGGGAATGATTGAAACGCTAGGGGAAGAGTTCCGCTCTAGGTCTATGAAATATTCTCAAATAATGATAGTCTGCCTGAAATATGCCCACAAGCCGGGCTATAAATAGCTGAAAAACGAAGGGAGTGAAACCCTAAAAGATGGAAGACAAAACGGGCCTAAGAATAAAAATAAATGGTCTAACTAAAAGATAGGCCGAAGGCCCAAAGACACACAAATTTAAAAATGAAGGCCTTAACAAGGAGTTCACGTCAGTCTTGATCCTCTCCTGCATCAGTCTCCCCGGGTTGGAAAAGAACTCGTCCTCGAGTTCACATCATCTTCCTTAGAATCTAAAAAACAAGGAGTTAGGTGCTTCACATTGAAAACATCAGAAGTTTTCAAGTGACTAGGAAGCCGCAATCGGTAAGCATTATCATTGATCTTCTGAACTATCTCGCAGGGTCCAATTTTCTGATCCTTGAGTTTATCATACTCGCTAACAGGGAATCGATCCTTGGTCAACACAGCCCAAACAAAGTCTCCAACATCAGACAGAACTTGACGTCGATGTTTGTCCACTCGTGCCTTATACTTGTTGTTGCTTTCTTCAATCTTACGTCTCACCTGATCATGTTTGCTCCTCAGGTTCTCTGTCATCTCTTCGGCTCTAGGATGACTACGACCCACTCGTGGAATTGGGGCCAAGTCCAGCACCCCGGATGGGTTCTGACCCAAGACAATCTGAAATGGGCTCAATCAAGTAGTCCTGTTTGTTGATCTGTTGTAGGCAAACTCCGCTTGGGGAAGCGCCAAATCCCATTGTTTTGGCTTAGATCCTGCCAAACAACGTAGAAGATTTCCCAAGCTACGATTCACCACCTCCGTTTGGCCATTAGTCTGAGGATGATATGCACTGCTAAAGTTCAGACTGGTGCCAAGCTTCTCCCATAAACTCCTCCAGAACTGGCTCATGAATTTTGTATCACGATCCGAGGTGATAGAACGAGGAACGCCATGCAGCCTCACAATCTCTCTGAAATATAGGTGAGCAATCTGCACAGCATCCATGGTTTTCCTGCAAGGAATAAAGTGTGCCATCTTGGAAAACCTGTCAACAACAACAAAGATGGAGTCTGCCGCCCTTTGAGTGCGGGGTAAGCCAAGTACAAAATCCATGCTAACATCAAGCCAAGGGGCTTCTGGAACAGGCAATGAAGTATAGAGGCCTGCATTCGTGAGAGCTCCCTTAGATCGCTGGCACACATAGCAACGATCCACAAAATGGGTCACGTCACTTCTCAACTTTGGCCAGTAAAAATCAGCACACACAAGAGCGAGAGTCTTGTCTCGACCAAAATGTCCTTCGTTGTGGAGTTCACTGATAATCTGTTGTCGTAAGGAACAATCTGGGACGCACAATTGCCGACCTCGAAAAAGATAGCCATCGTGCACTAAGAAATCATGGCGGTGTCCTGAAGTCACCTCCAAGAAGATCGTTCCAAATGAAGGATCAGCTTCATACATGTCCGCAAACACTTCAAATCCCGTCACTCTACTGCTCATGGTGGAGAGAAGATTATTGCGTCGACTCAAGGCATCAGCGACACGGTTGACACTACCTGATTGGTGTTTGAGTACAAAGGTGAACTCGTGTAAGTACGCCACCCACTTGGCATGACGCCTATTGAGTTTGTGCTGCCCATTAATATACTTCAAAGCCTCGTGATTAGTGAAAAGAATGAACTCCTTTTGGATTAAATAATGACGCCAATGTTTTAGTGACTGAACAATGGCGTAGAACTCGAGGTCATAAGTCGAGTAGTTCTTTTGGGAACCAGAAAGTTTTTCACTGAAGAAAGCAACTAGACGTCCGGCCTGACTAAGCACACCTCCAATGCCAACACCAGACGCATCACAGTTGACCTCAAAAACTTTGTCAAAATTAGGGAGGGCTAATACTAGAGCCTCCGTCATCTTCTGTTTCACCTTCTCAAAGCTAGACTCCGCGGCTTCTGTCCACTGGAGGTCACGTCCCTTCAGACACTCAGTAATGGGCGTGATCAAAGTGCTGAAGTTCCTAATGAATCTACGATAAAAAGAGGCCAGACCATGAAAGCTACGAACTTCATGCAATGTTCTGGGTCTAGGCCACTGCACAATGGCCTCAATCTTCGAGGGATCTGCATGCACACCATCAATAGAAACCACAAACCCTAGGAACTGTACAGAGGTAGTAAAGAAGAAACACTTCTTTCTATTGATGAATAAAGTCTCCGCTTTCAGCACCTCAAAAACAGCACGCAAATGTTCAAAGTGGGCAGCCCAAGATGGACTATAGATAAGGATGTCATCAAAGTAAACAACAACAAACTTTCCCATAAAAGGTCTCAAAACCTGGTGCATGAACCGCATGAACGTACTAGGTGCGTTGGACAGACCAAATGGCATCACCATCCACTCGTACAATCCATGCTGCGTCTTGAACGCGATCTTCCATTCGTCGCCAGGCTTGATTCTAATCTGATGGTACCCACTCTTAAGATCAATTTTGGAAAAGATCTTAGAGCCAGAAAGTTGATCTAGCATGTCATCAAGTCGGGGAATGGGAAATCTATACTTCACTGTGATGCGGTTGATGGCCCTGCTGTCCACACACATGCGCCAAGAACCATCTTTCTTCGGCACCAACAAGGTTGGAACTGCACATGGACTCATGCTCTCCCTGATATAGCCTCTTTCAAGCAACTCTACAACTTGTCGTTGCAATTCTTCTACCTCTTTGGGACTGAGACGATATGCTGGTCTGTTTGGGAGGTTAGAGCCTGGGACTAAATCAATTTGATGCTGTATGTCCCTCAATGGTGGTAAACCAGGAGGTAGCTCATCGGGCATCAAGTGTGAGAAGTCATCTAGAAGTTGCTGCACCTCCACAGGTAAGTCACTATCTTCATCACCTGCTTGGTCATCACAAGGCAACAATGCATAAACCACCTTTTCATGCTCAACCTCCTCTAGGAACTTGGACCTAGATAGCAGATTAGTAGGGCCTTCTATTGAGGGTGGAGGAGGGTCCTCTCGACGTGGTGCTAATATTATCCTCTTGCCTTTCATGACAAAAGAATAGGTATTCTTTCGTCCATCATGTACAACGCTACGATCATACTGCCAAGGTCTTCCCAAAAGAATGTGACATGCATCCATCTTCACGACATCACACCAGTGACTATCATGATACTTATTCCCAATTGAAAAGGAAACAAGGCATCTCTTGTCAACTGTCACCTCAGAACCCTTGTGTAGCCAAGACAACTTATAGAGTTTGGGGTGGCGTTCTGTCTTCAACTGCAATTTCCGAACAGCTTCGTCAGATATGATGTTGTCGCAACTACCACCATCCACGATCATCTTGCATACTTTTCCTTCAATGGTGCAGGTTGTGTGGAAGATGTTTGTCCTCAACCAATCGTCTTTAGAATCATCCTTTGGGGCCAGAAGACTCTTGCGCACAACCAAATTCTCTCAACCATCCCCGTAAAGAACATCATCTTCTACATAATCATCATAGATTGGATCTCCAGACTCTTCAACTTCATCATCATCAACAACGATGTTCTCCTCCACGATCAGGCTCTTACTCCTCTGTAAAGCGGGTTTCTTGCATTCATTCGCCCTATGTCCAGGTTCACCGCAACGATAGCACTTAATAGTACTACTAGAAGCTCCCTGCGTCCCTTGGACTCCCTGTGTGGTCGGTCGAGGCTCTTGGGGTCGAGCCAGACGGTTGTTGGTCACTGGCTTCCTGTTCTGCTGTTTCTCAACTTCAAGGGCCCTTTTGTATGCCTTAGAAACAGTCCATAATGAATGGAGGCTTAGAACATCCTGCAAGGACTGACGCAAGCCTGCCATATATCGGGCCACAAGCTGCTCCTCCGATTCAGACAGATCGTTGCGGGCAATCAACTAGTAGAATTCTTCTGTGTAATCATCAACGGACCTTGTTCCCTGCCTCAACGTATGGAGTTATTGAAATAGGGTTTGTGTGTATCCGAAGGGAAGAAAGTGTGCCCTCATCCTACCCTTCATCTTCTCCCAATCATTGATCTTTGGCTTGCCCTTCTTCTCACGAGTTTGCCGCATCTGTTCCCACCATGCAGAGGCTCGTCCATGGAGTTTGATCGCCACAAGCTTCACTTTGTCACGATCTGGAACGTCCTTATACTCGAAGATCCGATCCACCTCGTTCAGCCGGTCAATGAAATCATCGGCTTGCAGGGTTCCTAAAAAACTAGGGATTTCCACCTTAAACCCTAGCCCTCCGCGATAGTCATCACGGATGCGAAAATCACGACCGCGAGGTTCGTAATGATACAGCTTCTCGAACGATGATCGGGAGCCCCGATCTGACTCCTCATGATCCTCCAAATCTCGCACCGCCAGGCGCTGTGTGAGTTCCGCGATTTGCTGCCGCATAACCTCGTTCTGCCGTTGTAGATCTGTTATCACCTCCACGTCGTCAAGGTGCTGCTCTCGTCGGGGGGTTCGCCACCCATAGGTTGCCCACGTCCGCGACCTCGTGCACGCACCATTGATGTTGAAGGATGATCTTCCTTTATTCGTCGAACTGAGCTCTGATACCAACTGACGCCAAATTAAATCAAGGCGTAGGGCTAGAACGAGAAGAACAACGAAAGAAAGGGAATGATTGAAACGCTAGGGGAAGAGTTCCGCTCTAGGTCTATGAAATATTCTCAAATAATGATAGTCTGCCTGAAATATGCCCACAAGCCGGGCTATAAATAGCTGAAAAACGAAGGGAGTGAAACCCTAAAAGATGGAAGACAAAACGGGCCTAAGAATAAAAATAAATCGGCTAACTAAAAGATAGGCCGAAGGCCCAAAGACACAAAAATTTAAAAATGAAGGCCTTAACAAGGAGTTCACGTCAGTCTTGATCCTCTCCTGCATCATAATGTGAGTGCAGTTTACCTCTCCACTAATTCAGTTCAGCACCAGCGTACCAAACACGTTGAGGTAGATATTCACTTTGTTCGAGACAAGGTCGCACTAGGACGCATCCGAGTTCTTCATGTTCCCTCCTCTTCTCAGTATGATGATATATTCACTAAAGGACTCCCCTCAGTTCTCTTTCTGGACTTCCGCACAAGCCTAGGGATTCGTCCCCCACCGCAGCCGACGTAGCCGGGAGCATGTTAAATATATTTAATATATATTTATGTTAAGTATATTTAATGTATTTATTATCATATCATTGTATTATTGGTAGTTACCATTTGTATAGGCTTCCTTACTTATACTCCTACCATCATTAGGAGTCCCGTCCTATATATATATACGGTTGTACTCCTACACCTTTAATCATTGAAAATATTCATTATTCATTCCTCCCACTCACTCTCGAATAGCGCTTGTTGGACAACAACGGCAAGGGGTACATGGAGATGGAGGTCGTGCAACAAGCGGATTGCCACCCGCCACTTCCCCATTTATAGCAGTGCCGCGGTGTTCCTGTACACGAACATACTGGGACCGGCATTGCTGACTCATCATACTTAATCTGGCTCAAACCCGAATTCCCTTTCCATGTAAAGACTACGCGCAACGGTGGTCCCACCTTTTTGGAGGAAATTGGTTGTTTCCTTTCTTTCAGTTTTCTCGCCTTCCTAGGAATGGAAAATCAGCAGCAAGTAGCAGCAGCAGTAGTAGTAGTACTTGAGAGGTTAGTCACTATGCTTTCCGTCATCATGTGGTGATAATGGCCGGATGTGATTTACTTCGTCTAGTATTCTACTTCCCGATGACTCAAGGAAAGGGTTAAGAGCGGAAAATGCACCGTCGTCTTGGTCTTGTAATACGTACGGCATTGCGCTCTACAATTGCATCGTCCCTTTGAAGGATTGCCATGTCACGCTCTCCGAATGCTATCCTCTTCTCCTCAAGAGCCACATTCCGTTCTCGGATGGCAGCGTCCCTCTTAGCCATGATGGCCATATATGTCTTTATACTCTCAAGTTGTTGCTGTGGTCCTTTTGATTTTTAATTGAAAAAAAAAGGCTAACTATGTGTGGGTTTTGGGTGTTGAACTGAAGCAAAAACTACAATGAGTAGTAATAAGTTTCATACCATCATTAATGGAAGGGGGACAAAATACCATCATTATTTATGTGTCTTTTTATACTCAATTGAGTCAATTCATATTTGTATTTTGCAAAATGATAGGGAGCAATAAAAATAACTTAAACAAAGGTACACAGTTGATCACACAGTTCAAACTATGTCGGTTTCCTTTACCAAGTAATAACACTTATAGAACTCAATAAAAATGAATACCACCGAAAGAGTAAGAAAAAGTTGGAATGCAATTCTTCCATTCTTCCGGACTTTGGAGAGTACTCCTTGTTTGCAAGAATCACAGGCGTAGCAAAGTTTCGTTTGGTCGTTATTCCAAATTGTACAATCAACATCACTATATGTTTGATTGCTAGGGGGTACCCAATATGTTGGGCTCACAAAAGATAGCCCACATTCTGGTGGTGGCATACAACATTTCGACTGCAACAAATTAATTTTAATCAATTTTTATGATCATAAATAGATACATATTATTGTAATAGAAAAGAGCAAACTCACAAAATGGTCCTTTTTAATGAGGTGTTTTACCAAAGTAGTCCTCAATAAATTCTAATTACATACATGGTACTTCGTACTTTATAATTGAGGTTTATTTTCTTAGTAGTTCTTACTACCTCCGTCTCAGAATATTTGTCCTCTTTCATTTTTACCACAATCCAATACACTTCTTTAATCCATTTTATCTTGTAATTTGTATATTAAAAAATTATAAAAATTATATATTAATAATCTATATGCTAAGACAAATCAAACAAGATCACACATGACTATATTTAGGCTTACACATTGAAAGAATTTAATGAGTCAAAGTGCTTAGATGAACAGTTCCAAAAGTCAAAACTGGACGAATACTCCGGGACGGAGGGAGTAGTAAACAGTGTCACTTAAATGTTGATTAAAAGGAAGATATTTTGGTATGCTTCATCATCGATCTAAATTTAGATTAAGTTTTCAAATTTATCATTTCTCATAAAGTATTTTTTCAAAATGCTCTTTTTAATTAATGAGGTGTATTTGGTTCAAAATTTTAAACAGTAAAATTCCATAATTTGTCCTTTATAACAAAGGATTTTCCATATTCAGTCCACTAATATCAAATGTTACCTTGTAGTCCTTCTTTTATGGGTATCTTTCAGCAAATAATCCTTTTATGATCTTTTGCCATATTCGCGTTAATTAATTTAAAGGGTAAAAGTATACTTTGACATCAACGTTATGTCTATTGACGTATTATGATATTATTTAGATGGACAATACAAAAAATGACTATGATTGTGGGTTAGGATTCCGACGCATTCAATACCACATCTGTAAACTATGGTTGCAGTAGAAAACGACTGTAATTCACAAACGACGCATTTGGAGTGGGCTTTGGAATTTATATGACAAGAAAAATATATTACCATTATGAAATTACACATTTAGTTCTCAAATTAACACCAATATAATATAATATGAAAAAAAAGACTATTTGTGGGAAGATAGTTTTTTAATACAAACCAACCCATTGGTATTTGGAAGGCCTACTCACGACTACCAGATTTTGCATTGATAAACACACTCACCCACATACTCCATCTATCTCTTTGTTTTTTATATTTTGACTTTTATGGTTATTTTTTTGAATTTTAATCACAAATTATGAAAAAACATAAAATATATTGAATTACGATATATATATATATGTGTGTGTGTGTCTATATATATATATATATATATATATATATATATATATATATATATATATATATATATATATATATAT